TGAATTTACGTACAAAATATTTTAGACCCTATTTGACATTCATTATTCTAAAATCCTTTAATTCACATGCTCATTTCAAACCACACATTACAAAATATTTTACATGTAAATCCAAAATTTTTCCTTACTTTTTAATCATACATTCTTAAAAAATCACTATTCGAAACGTTATTTTTTTAAAATAATGGTCATCAAACAGGGGCTTATTGTGAAAATGGTTGGTTGAAAACGAATTTGAGAAGGAAAAAAATGAGTTTAATGTTTGTCAAACAGGAGTTAATGTTGGTGTTTGATCTCAATGGTTATCTCATTCTCACTTTTGAAAATGATTAAAGGAGCTTAATTGAATTTTTTTAAATCACAAAAAGAGAACAAACCATAGGACCAATCCAATGAGAGAGGTCAGGAACTTGCGTTATTTGAAAATGTCATCATGATCAGTTGAAAAAATGTTTCTTACTGACGTCAACACCTCCATAACTACCAACCAAAGACGATTAAGTGTCACATCTAACGTCAACAATGTAAAGCTCACTAATCAAAAGAAAACAATGATTATCAGGACACATGTAATGATGACATAGATCACGAGTTTTGACATGCACATCAAGTTTGACATCATTAGTTGGCGAACTTTTTATACATTGATTTTAACAATACTCTTTTCAATCAATGATCAAATTTTCTACACATAGGGGATGTCAAACTTGATGTCAAAAAATGGTATACAACTAACTTAATTCTTAAATCTAGGTTAATAACCCAAATGGTCACTGAAATTTGTAAAAAAATTTCACAGGATCACTGAACTTTAAAAATCACTCAAATTATCATTGAACTTTGCAAAAAGTTTATACGAGCTGAACTTTGCAAAAGGTTTTCACGAGTCACTGAACTTTAAAAATCATCTCGTTCATCACTAAACTTTGCAAAAAGTTTTCCGGGGAAATTTTTTGTAAAGTTCAGTGACCCTATGGAAATTTTTTACAAAATTTAGTGATGAATAGTCACTGAATTTTGCAAAAGGTTTTCATGAGTCATTGAATTTTAAAAATCATCTCATTCATCACTAAACTTTGCAAAAAGTTTTCTAGGGAAACTTTTTGAAAACTTTTTGTAAAGTTCAGTGACCCTATGGAAATTTTTTACAATATTTAATAATGAATGGAGTGATTTTTAAAGTTCAATGACTTCGTGTAAACCTTTTCAAACATAACGATGAACTAATCGAGGTAAATTATTGTTACTCGACAAGATAGAAGTCAACAAGCTCTCATTGAAAGGAGAAATTATTGAAAATGCCCAAAATTCAACCATACCCTTTCCAAAATAGCCTTTGACTTTTCCAAACTTTGAAACTACCTAAAATACCCCTAAAAGATAGTAATTACATCCAAGTAGCCCAAAATAAGAGAAAAATACAACCAAGACCTAGATTATAAGGTGACTAATAAAAATTATAAAAAATCTAGAACTAAAAGAGGACCATACAAGAT